ACAAGCTAGGGCTTAGCCCTTGGGTGGTTCCGTGGATATGCAGCTGGCTAAAGGATAGCTACCAGAGTATGGTTGTAAATGGGGTTCACCAAGAACAATGACCAGTCACTAGTGGTGTACCACAAGGCTCTGTACTAGGTCCTGTTCTATTTATTCTATATGTAAGTTATATAACTAAAGGTTTGTTGGGTAAGGTATGTCTTTTGTTGATGACACAAAGGCGTGTAATAGAGTTGATATCCCTGGAGCTGCATGTACGTAACATGGAACATGATTTGGCATTGCTGGAAGATTGGCCAAAAAATGGAAATTGCAGTTCAAAGTTTCTAAATGTAAAATAATGCACCTAGGAAAAAATAATCCCATGAGAGAGTACAACATTGGGGGTACAGTGTTGGCCAGCACTTCAGAGGAAAAGGACTTGAGGGTACTTATTACAGATGATTGCAAAGTGTGGCCACTTTGATTGCAAAGTGTGGCATCACTAGAGGGGTCACCAGCAGGAGGAAGGAGGTCCTGATTCCTCTATATAGATCTATAGTTAGACCTCATTCAGAATACTGTGTCTAGTTCTGGAGACCTCACATACAAAAAGATATTGATAAGATAGAACTTGTCCAGAGACGGGTAACAAAAATGGTGAAAGGTCTGGGGGATAAAACATGTCAAGTCCATGGAAACTGGAAATCAATAAAGTAGACACACGGGGTTTATTTACTAAAGCTGGAGAGTCCAAAATCAGACTCCCTTCTGCATAGAAACCAATCAGCTTCTAACTTCAGCTTGTTCAATGAAGCTTTGGCAATGAAACCTGGAAGCTGATTGGTTTCTATGCAGAAGTGAGTCTGATTTTGGACTCTCCAGCTTTAGTAAATAAACCCCCACTAGTCTACCAGTGATCTCCATATGCTTCTGTGTCCTGGGCCGAGCAGCTGGCCTAATGCATTCTCAACACAGGAGGTCAGCTTCTTGGTGCTGCAATCTTCATTTATTCCAATGCCTCTCTTAGGAATACCGTGTACATAACCAGCAGAATGCTGCCCAATTCTGTTGCACCTCCACTTGACACGCTAAAACAGACCAATAATCTTCACAAAGGATTTCCCAGCACAGTTACCAGCCAGCCTGCAAATAAAAAAAAAAAAACGAAATGGCCCTAACTCTTTACGTTAAAAGCAGAGATTTTTGTTTGCACACATTTGCAAAATATACACTGCTCAAAAAAAATTAAAGGAACACTTTGAATACATACCAGATCTCAGTGGGGAAAATTTCATGCTGGATATCTATACTGATATGGACTGGGTAATGTGTTAGGAACGTAAGGATGCCCCATCGTTTGATGGAAATGAAAATGATCAACCTACAGAGGGACTGAATTCAAAGACACCCCGAAAATCAAAGTGAAAAAATTATGCAGCAGGCTAGTCCATTTTGCTGAAATTTCATTGCAGTAACTCAAAATGGTCCTCAGTAGTTTGTATGGTCCCCATGTGCTTTTATGCATACCTGACAACGTCGGGGCATGCTCCTAATGAGACCACGGATGGTGTCCTGGGGTATTTCCTCCCAGATCTGGACCAGGGCATCACTGAGCTCCTGGACAGTCTGAGGTGCAACCTGGCGGTTGCAGATGGACCGAAACATGATATCTCAGAGGTGTTCTATTGGATTTAGGTCAGACGAACGTGGGGTCCATTCAATGGTATCAATTTCTTCATCCTCCAGGAACTGCCTACATACTCTTGCCACATGAGGCCGGGCATTGTCATGCACTAGGAGGAACCCAGGACCCACTGCACCAGCGTAGGGTCTAACAATGGGTTCAAGGATTTCATCCCGATACCTAAATGCAGTCAGGGTGCCATTGTCTAGCCCGGATGTCGGCAACCCGCGGCTCCGGAGCCGCATGCGGCTCTTTTTCACCTTTCCTGCGGCTCCGGAGCACACTGCCCACCAGGTGACAGGCAATAGGGTCGGTAAGCCGCGGCTCTTTTAATGCAGCTCTTCTGTGTGCCGGGCGCCCGCTGGCAAACATTGGCTGTCAGGATGTAGGCGGGGCAGCGTGACGAACTCCTCTCCTCTCACAGTCCGCCCTGAAGACCAGAACGGCGTGGGAACACAGCGAGCGGAACGCGCGGAGCAAAGGTAAGTGAATTGACACAATATGGGGAATGAATTACTATAGGGGGGATGAATTACTATGGGGGATGAATTACTATATGGGGAATGAATTACTATGGGGGATGAATTACTATATGGGGGATGAATTACTATGGGGGATGAATTACTATATGGGGGATGAATTACTATATATGAATTACTATGGGGGATGAATTACTATATGGGGGATGAATTACTATGGGGGATAATTACTATATGGGGGATGTATTTTCAGTTTTAAAAATGTTTCTCTCAAAATAAATTTCAATCGTTTTGGCGAGATTTGGCTCAGTTGAAAAAAAAGGTTGCCCACCACTGACCTAAGGCTATGATTGTGATTATGACGCTACACTGTGGCCCTGATTAACCCTTTGCTTACTGGGCCCTTAAACCCCCTTCATGGCCAGAGCGCTTTTTGCAATATATGCAGTGTCAGATTTGTTTTAAATGTTGCAATGGTTTTGCGGCTCCCAGTCTTTTTTTCCCTCTCGGAAACGGGTCCAAGTGGCTCTTTATGTCTTAAAGGTTGCAGACCCCTGGTCTAGCCTGTAGAGGTCTGTGCGTCCCTCCATGGATATGCCTCCCCCAGACCTCTACTGACCCATCACCAAAAAGGTCATGCTGAACGATGTTACAGGCAGCTCTGCGTTCTCTGTGGCTTCTTCAGACCCTTTCACGTCTGTCACGTGCTCAGGGTAAACCTACTCTCATCTGTGAAAAGCACAGGGCACCAGTGGTGGATCTGCCAATTCTGCTGTTCAATGGCAAATGCCAATCGAGCTCTATGGTGCCGGGCAGTGAGCACAGGGCCCACTAGAGGAGGTCGGGCCCTCAGGCCTTCCTTATGAAGTCTGTTTCTGATTGGTCAGAGACATTCACACCAGTGGCCTGCTGGAGGTAATTTTGTAGGGCTCCGATGGTGCTCATTCTGTTCCTCCTTGCACGAAGGAGGAAATACAGGTCCTACTGATGGGTTAAGGACTTTCTACAGCCTTGTCCAGCTCTCCTAGAGTAACTGCCTGTCTCCTGGAATCTCCTCCATGCTTTTGAGACACAGCAAACCTTCTGGCAATGGCATGTATTGATGTGCCATCCTGGAGGAGTTGGACTGCCTGTACAACCTCTGTTAGGGTCCAGGTATCGCCTCATGCTACCAGTAGGGACACTGACCCTAACCAAATGCAAAACTAGTGAAAAAGTCAGAAAAGATGAGTAGGAAAACAAATGTCAGTGGCCTCCACCTGTAAAACCATTCCTGTTTTGGGGGTCATCTCATTGTTACCCATCTAGTGCACCTCTTGTTAATTTCATTAACAACAAAGCAGCTGAAACTAACAACCCCCTCTGCTACTTAACTGACCAGATCAATATCCCAGGAGTTTAATTGACGCTATACTCTGAATAAATAGTGTTCCTTTTTTGAGCAGTGTATGTGTAAGCTGCAGTGCCCACATCAAAAAACCACTGTACATACTGCTGTCCTAACTCTAAATTTCCAGAGCCTCCTTAGTAGGAGCACATATTGTTATGGATAGATTAACCTCCCTAGCAGTCTGATTATGCCCATATTTCTGTGCTCAAAGCGGTACATTTTTTTGCATGGAAATATGTATTTTTTTTATTGTAGGCCTGTAATTTTTAGGAATAACTCACTGAAATCTGTCCCCCGAACAAGAGTCTAGTAAACATCCCGGGTATGTTAAAATTTGAAACCCGAAATCATAAATTATAATTTAATAAATAATCATAAAAAATAATAAAAACTTTAATTCAATAATAATAATCAAACCAAAAACACTGAAATTTGAAATATAGCTCCAAGTTTGCACATCACTGAGCAAAGTCGCAAAATCGTTTTCAGTGTCTGATGACGAATTTCCCCACGAATCATTATCACTCAATTCTGCAAGTGGTTCTGATTTACTATTGCTGTTCTCTAGCTGGTCTAAAACCGCTTTTGACCTAACGGGACGCTTTTTGGACGCCATGGACTTTTCTAAGTTTCCAGGCAGAAGGAAAAGTAAAAATGCAGGCAGGGCACAGGACAAAGCACTCGGGACAAAATGTATGTGAAATGGTTTGATACAGTAATGTTTTACTATGTTATTTTAGTGTATTTAGTGAATGTGACTTTTACAACTTTCAAATTTCCCGCCAGTTCCGTCCCCATTTGTCCTGACGTCGCAGGGAACGGAACCCAGAAGACAGATGCCGGCATCGGCCGGAGGACATTGCCGGGGACACTGCAGGAGGGACATCGCGGGAGTGCAGGACAAGGTAAGTAAAGAAGAGATCCCAGAGCAGCGCTGCAGGGTATTCCCGAGTGTAGCTCGGGGTTACTGCTTGTGGTGCTGAAACTTTACCCCGAGCTACACTCGGGAATAAATCCAGGGAGGTTAAGGGCAGGTATGCATTAAGGGAACCCACCCCTCCTTCTTTAACCACAAGCCTACAGGGCACTTATACCCCCTTCCTGCCCAGGCTAATTTCCAGCTTTCAGCGCTGTTGCACTTTGAATGACAATTGCGCAGTCATGCAACACTGTACCCAAATTAAATTTTTATCATTTTTTTGTGACAGATAAAGCTTTATTTTGGTGGTATTTAATCACCTCTGGTGTTTTATTTTTTCTTAAACCAAAAACCACTGAAAATTTTGGAAAAAAAAAATGTTTTTTCTTAGTTTTTGTTATAAAATTTTGTAAATAAGTGATTCTCCTTCACTGATGTGTGCCAATGAGGCTGCACTGATGGACACTGATAGGTGGGACTGATGGGCAATGATGAGGAGGCACTGGTAGGTGGCACTGATGGGCATTGACAGGCATCACTGATGGGCACTGAAAGGCAGCACTGATACATGGCACTGACTGGCACTGATAGGCGGCACTGATTGGCAGCACTGATAGGAGGCACTGGCTGGCATTGATGGGTGACACTGAAAGGCAGCTCAGATGGGCACTGATATGTGGCATTGATGTGCACTGGTAGGCACTGATATGTGGCACTGATGGGCACTGGCACGAGGCACTGATGAGCACTGACAGGTGGCACTGCTGGGGCTACACTGATCATCAGGGCACACTGATCATCAGTGCCCTGATGATCAGTGTACATGTCCCCTCCGAGGAATGCCAATTACCGGCTCTCCTCTCCTCTCGAGCCGTCACGATAACCGTCATTTCCCTGTTTACATGTGATCAGCTGTGATTGGACACAGCTGATCACATGACCGAGCCGATATCTTCGGCTCTTTCCGTGATCGGTGATTCGCTGTGTCCGAGGGACACAGCGCACTGCCGATCGCCGCGCTCCACGCTCCCTGAGCTGCGCATGCGCAGTGAGAATGGGAGGACGTCATATGACGTCCTCCCAGAACGAGAGAACCACCTTGCGCCCGTCATATTACTATATGGCGGGCGGGAGGTGGTTAAGGGACACACGTGACGCCCAGCAAGAGCACAATGGCAGCGAAGGCATCTAGTAGTGTGTCCTTGAACCCAATTTGTTCAACTGTACAAAATAGTGGCAACCACGCAAACCTATTGTACAGCAAGGTGCACATGGAAGGGCAATGCACATCACAAACATGATGCAGGGATGCACTGGATGCCTTTGCTGCCATTGTGTTCTTGCTGGGCGTCATGTGTGTCCCTTAATGAAGGAGAGGTGGCCTCCTTAATCTATTCTTATATGTGTGCTCTTACTATGGAGGCAGTTAGGACTGCAGTATATACAGAGGTCCCTTGGCATGGGCACTGTGGATTACGCACATATTTGCAAATTTATGCAAACAAACCCTGTGTTTTTAACGTAAACGGTTGGACAGGGCCAATTAACTTTGCAGGCCGGCAGGTGAGCTGGGAAATCCTGCGTTTGTGATGTGCATTGCCCTTCCATCTGCACCTTACTGCAAAGGCCAGTTATAGGTTTGGGGGTTATTGCACTTTTTTGGACAGTTAGACCAATAACCTTGCCATCAGGCATAGATACTTTCTACTGTATATATTACCTACTTTGTGATAAAAAGTTATGGACCGATCAGCCAAACATATGCTCTGTTAGAATTCCTCATCCCTCTGCTGCTAACATGATTAGTATTCAGGTATTAGACCTTCTAGCCCCTGTTAAAGTCACCTGGGAGAGTGTTTTGATGGGGCTGATGTATAGAATATAATTTTTAGGTACAGATCTGCATGTTGCCCTAGAAGATGATTTTCCGCCTAAATAAAAATGTTTCTGATGGCTCAAAACACAGACACTGATCCCCCTGGCTTGCTAGGATCGAGGAAATCCAAATAATGGAAGACCTCACTATGTCAATGAAAGAACAGGGTGAAAAATATTGGAATGTCTGGACCCCTTCCTCCATCTATAGCAGGGGTGTCCAAACTTTTTTTTCAAAAAGGGCCAGATTTGATGAAGACAACATGCGTGAGGGCCGACCATTTTACGGCAAAAAAAAAATGAATGGATAAAGGAGCAACTTTGTTTCTCCCCCTAAAAAATAATTTAAAAAAAGCAAAATTACTGTCCCTGATTTCCTTCAATGCTTGAGAAGGGAGCGCACCTTTGCCTTTCATCGGCCTCGCGCATGCTCTGAAACGCATTGAATGCTGGACATCCCTACGTCGTCACGTTAATGTTGCGCTCCAGGGTGGACTCCGGACACCATCTTTGTATCTCACACATGCCTGCCAGCTCCCTATGAACATCCCGAGTCTCCTCCAGCGCTTACTACAGCGTACACATCGAGGATGCCGCCATGTCCTTCGCTTTCACCACATGTGCCTAAGCCTTTCATTTTCTTTCATAATGTGTTTCTCATTATGTTCCTCAATAAATGTACCACATATTGCACTTAGAGGCGCTTTTCTCCTTTTTAGATATTGCCAAATTACCTGTGGGGCCGTATTAAGCTGGAACTCTGGCTGCAATTGGCCCGCGGGCCGGACTTTGGACATACCTGATCTATAGTAATCAATCCCCACTACCATCACAATATCAACATCCAGATACCTCTTTTTCTAGTGAGTCCTGTTGGATTGCCAGATGGGGAGGGGGATTTTAAACCTCCCCTGCCCCATTTCTCCCCAACCCTTTTTGTCCCTCTTGTGTACCAACTTAGCCTATCTATGACTCAAACTCCTTCTTGGAAACCTGAAAGACTCTGGGGCCGGCAAAGCTATGCCAATGCAACCCATTATACATTTTTCTATCTCTTGTAAGCTGTCAGTTTGTATTAAAGTGGTTCTAAACCCTTAAGATTTTCATCTTAATGCATTCTATTCTATTCTATAAAACCTTCTGTGCTGCAGAATCCCCCCTGGCCCTTCCCTATTCTTAATTGAGCCCTATCCGATCCAACGGTGTGTGCAAGAGCAGCAGCTCTTTCCTCTTTCTCCCTCCTCACTGAGCAGATTGATAGCAGCAGGAACCAATGGCAAGTGTCAATAAAATGCTGTGCCAAGCAAGTGGGGCTGAGCTACATGCTCTGTGTCAATAGACGCAGGCAGGGTGGCTCTGGAGTGAGCACACATGGGTGCCCCAATTGAAAGCGGCTTTCCATTGCGGCATTTGCTGAAGAGGAGGAGCCTGGAGTGTGGCTGGCAGCAGACCCCAGAAGATGAGGATCGGGGCTGCTCCGTGCATAACCATTACAAAGAGCAGGTAAGTATGACATATTTTATTATTTTGATGAGAAAAAAAAAAAAACAAGCTTTAATATTGCCATGAGTGTATTATTACAATGTCTTTACATGAGATACTATTAAATACTTGTGTTGCGGACCCTGTGTATGTGTAAAACTCTTCTCCAACTATATGACCGGCTGCAGCTCTAATGAAGTGCTATGCCTTTAAATAAGCAGTGAATATTTAGGTGTTGCTTGATCTGTACAGTTATGTATCAATACCACATGTATATATACAAACCATAAACATTGCATAACATCCAGAAATGAATACAATGTGCAGGTAAGTGAACCGATAAATAAAATAGGTAAATAAAGTTTGTTAAATTAGTCCATATATCTGCTTCTTCAATTGATCACAATGTTACAGATGACCATGAATCCTTCATAAAATGCCCGGTGCTACTTTGTCAAACAATGGTGCATGTGAAGTGCTCCTCCAGTGCTCCCAATCCCTCACCAGATGACATGGACTCTTATGCGCTGTGTGCCATTCCTCGTTGATCTGGGACTTGTAGCCCACCTTGTTGTCTATCCTATTCTCCACAGCAGTGTACCATAACGATGTAGAATAGCCTCAAGGTGTTTGTATGTAAGAGATGATAGGGAGATCCTAATAGTTTCATTCCATTTTATTATAAAATCCAATCAAATAAACAATTGCACTTACGTATGGATATAAAAAACAGGCAGGTACGCCGGAACTGAAAGTCGTACATTGGCATGCGTCCCACCAGCCAGAAATGACGTCACCAACAGCTGTCACCTATTCTAAAACTCTGATTTCTTCTTAGAAATTGACATTGTGGAGGTTAAATATGCCATTACCTACACCTCTCCTTTTCTCTTTCCCCTTGTTTCCTGTGCATCCTCCATATTCCCTCTTTCTCCTTCTCTTACATGGTCTTGTAGCACAGATTTGTTTTCCACGTTCCTCCAACTGTATGGCAGTCCTCTGGGGGGGCATAACATCCAGAAAGGAATAGTGCAAATATGCAGATACAGTAAGAGAACCAATAAATAAATAAAACAGTTCTTTAAATTAGTCCATATCTCTGCATCTTCAATTGATCAGTGTGACAGACGACCATGAACCCATTACATACCGTTCTTTGACTTACAGTTGTGTTCAAAATAATAGCAGTGTGTTAAAAAAAAGTGAATAAAGCTCAAAATCCTTCTAATAGCTTTTATTTCCATACACACAAATGCATTGGGAACACTACACATTCTATTCCAAATCAAAACATGAAGAAAAATAGATCAAATTTGTGTTGTTCCTCTAATCAAATTGAAGAAAAGTGAATATTAGACTGTTCAAAAAAATAGCAGTGTTTGTATTCTTCTTTACAAACTCAAACATTCACTATATAAACTGAAAAATGTTTGAAGATTTTGCTTTCCTTTGAATCACTTAATGAATATTTAGTTGTATAAGCACTGTTTCTGAGAACTGCTGTACATCTGTGTTGCATGGAGTCACCCAACTTCTGGCACCTGTGAACAGGTATTCCAGCCCAGAATGATTGGACTACATTCCACAGTTCTTCTCTATTTCTTGGTTTTGCCTCAGAAACTGCATTTTTGATGTCACCCCACAAGTTTTCTATTGGATTAAGATCCGGGGATTGGGCTGGCCACTCCATAAGGTCAATCTTGTTGGTCTGGAACCCAGATGTTGCACGTTTGCTGGTGTGTTTGGGGTCGTTGTCTTGTTGTAACACCCATTTCGAGGGCATTTCCTCTTCAGCATAAGGCAGCATGACCTCTTCAAGTATTCTGATGTATTCAAACTGATCCATGATCCCTGGTATGCAATAAATAGGCCCAACACCATAGTATGAGAAACATCCCCATATCATGATGCTTGTACAACCATGCTTCACTGTCTTCACAGTGTACTGTGGCTTGAATTCAGTGTTTGGGGGTCGTCTGACAAACTGTCTCCAGCCACTAGACCCAAAAAGAACAATCTTACTTTCATCAGTCCACAAAATGTTGCACCATTTCTCTTTAGGCCAGTGAATGTGCTCTTTGGCAGATTGTAACCTCTTCAACACATGTCTTGTTTTCAACAGTGGGACTTTGCGGGGGCTTCTTGCAGATAGCTTGGCTTCACATAGGCGTCTTCTAATTGTAACAGTACTCACAGGTAACTTAAGACCTTCTTTGATCTTCCCGGAGCTGATTGTTGGCCTGGCCATTTTGGCTATTCTTCTATCCATTCGAATGGTAGTTTTTCGCTTTCTTCCACGTCTTTCAGGTTTTGGTTGCCATTTTAAAGCATTTGCGATCATTTTAGCTGAGCAGCCTATCATTTTCTGCACTTCTTTATATGTTTTCCCCTCTCCAATCAACTTTTTAATCAAGATACGCTGTTCTTCTGAACAATGTCTGGAACGACCCATTTTCCTCAGAATTTCAGAGAGAAATGCACTGTAACCAGCATGTACAACATTTGCTGCCTTCCTTCCTTAAATAAGGGCAATAATTGCCACCTGTTTTTCAAAGAATGAATGACCTCACTAATAGAACTCCACACTGCTATTATTTTGAACATGCCCCTTTCAATTAGTGATTCAATTACACAAAATCAGCGGCATGCATGTCATGACTGCTGGG